GCCCGCGCCATAATTGATGTCAAAGGTTTTACGTCACCCCTATCCAGTGAGCAACGCCCAATCCGAGTGGACGCCAGACCCAAACATCAGGCTAGACGGTGCCCCGAGGCAATCTGGCTGTACGGATTGTCTCGGGCGCGGCGGTCGCTTTTAGGTCGGGATCTCCGGATTTGCGTCGGGGATACCTACGTCGACATCAGACCCACTATGAAATATTTGGGTCTGGTCGTCGACGACTGCTGGCGCTTCAAGGAGCACTTTGACCTCCTGGCCCCCCGAAAGGAGAAGGCGGCCGCCGCTTTAGCGCGGCTGCTACCCAATATCGGGGGGCCGGAGTTGCGGATCCGTCGCTTGTACGCGGAGGTGGTGCGATCGATGGCCCTATATGGAGCCTCCGTGTGGCACCGCACGCTCGAGGCCAGCAAGCGCAGCCGCGCTCTTTTTGAAAGAGTGCGGCGGCGGCTGGCCCTGGGGGCCATACTGGGATACCGCACCGTTTCTGCTGAAGCGGCGGGCCTCCTGGCCGTGATTCCGCCTTTTTATCTGGCGGCGGCGGAGCGTGCGGCGATATACGGGATCGCCCGCCCCGCACGCCACCCTGCGGGGGTGGAAGTCGCGAGCATGGAGGTAGAGGAGGTCGATGTGCAGAAGCGCCAGGCCCGGAGGGACACGTTGGCCCGGTGGAAACATGAGCTTTCTTCATCGGGCCGTCCAATTGTCCGGGCCATCCTGCCCATATTTGAAACATGTTGCAGGATTCGGGGAAGGTTGACCATCCGCCTCACGCAGGTGCTCTCTGGGCATGGATGGTTCGGAAAGTACCTGCACCGGATGAGACGGGAGCTGACAGCGCAGTGTCACCACGGCATGGGCCGCGCCGCGCCGTGCCCTAAGAGCCGCAGTGGGTGGGTGGGACCTCTCGGTCGCGGCCATGGTCGACCACATAGTCTCGAGCGAGGTCGTGGAAGGCGGCGGCCTCCATTTGCGAGGAAGTAATGTCGCAAAAGGAGAAAGCCGGGAAAGAGACCCGGGCTCGTCAAGGAGGGTGTGGGCGCGGGGACGTCTCTCGCGCCAGCGCACGCCTCTGCGTGGTGGTAGGAATGGTGGAGGGTCGCGAGGGGCGCCTCCGCGACGACATGTGCCTCGTACGGAGGCGGCGAATGTGGGTGGCCGGGGCGTGATCTGACCCTGACCCCGGGTCCCTCCGCCCGGGGTCTTATAGAGTAGGTAGTGGGAGAGGCTGGTACCCTCTCTCCGGGATTCATGTAAGCTGGGAAGTGTCCTGCTGAATATCCGCGTGTTTCAGGCACTTCCTATGTAGCTTAGGCGGGTATGGGGTTTTAGTGGGTAGCCAACGCTGACGGGCGCGCCTGCGGCGCTCCCCTCCCCGATGGCAGTCCCACATAGCCTTGGTTTTCCCTCCGGGAAACCGAGGTATGTGTAACGCATTTCCCCACGATAAAAAAAAAAGGGCCCCCGGCCCCAGGTTCCGCGGCCGCCAGGGGAACAACCTTTAACTTGCTGCCCCCCTCTCGCTCTACCATACTTCTTAGGTTGGAAGCTGGCGGCGGAGGTCATTCTAACCGTTCCACCGCCAGCCTCCATCCTTATCCCGGGGGCCCGGCGGCGCGACCCCTGCCAGATCGCCGCCGCCCCCGGATCCGTCGAGCGGGAACGGTAGTCTCTCGATCCCGCTCTGCGGCCTCCTTCTGCGAGATAACCGCTTCAGAGAAGGAGACCGCCACCCTTCAGCTTCTCTTGCTCACCACCATAGCCCCAACTACTACTGGGAACGAGAGGTCATGCCTGATTTGGGTCCTTTTGAATCGTCGCGGGGCTGAAAAGGCGGGGCATTCCTCCAGCGTATGCTGCGCCTCCTCCTCCTCCTCGTGGCAGTGGTGACAGGCTGCCGTCGCTTCCCGTCCTATGCGACGCAAATAGACGCCGAAACAACCATGCCCGGTGAATTCCTGCGTCGCTCGGTAGGTGAGCCTACCAAAGCCCCTCTCCCGCCAACTTTTGAAGTACGGCAGGAGAGCTCTGGGAACGCGCTCGCTGACATGGGAGCTTACCTCCAAACGCCACTTTACGAGCGCGAGCCACCAGTCCTGCCGTTCGAACACCTTGACCGTCTCTAGCTCTGACGGATTCCCCCGAACCCGGCGGGTAGCCCGTACGCGCGCATAGACTGACGTCGTACAGCCGGCTGAAGTTCAAAAGGAATTTCCCCCGCCAGAGCCTGCGCCGCCACATAGGATATGGTGCGGTATCCGCGGATGACCCTGATGGCCATCCACCTCTCAAGCCGGCGCAGTAATTGCTTTATGCGCCGGCGTGCCATCGCGTCCGAGGCCCAGACAGAGGTCTCATACAGCAGCATAGACCGCACTACTCCCATGTAGAGGCGGCGCACCTAATCCCCAGGCCCACTGATGTTGGGCAGGAGGCGGCCAAGCGCGGACGCCGTCCTTTGCACCCGGGAGGCCAGGCGGTCGAAGTGTGCCTCGAAACGCCAGTAGCTGTCGAGGACGAGTCCCAGATATTTTATCCGGTTCTCGACCTCGATGCAGGCGCCACCCACTCCGACCTAACCCACGACCTTGCGAGCGGCCGACACCGAGGGCCACCGTGAAACCAGATGGCCTCGGTCTTCTTGGGGGCCACTCAGAACCCAAGTCCGCGGATCCTAGCGACGACAGCCGCCACTGCCACCTCTGCTAGGCGGATAGTCCTGTTGAACGTGCTCCCGACGGCGACCACTCTCGTATCGTCTGCGAAGCAGACGAGACTGGCGTCAACAGGGAGCGGGGCCCGCAGGACCATGCCGTAACCGAGGTTCCACAACAACGGGCCCAAAACTGAGCTCTGTGGGACCCCACACTATCCACCTGTCGCGTAGATAGGCCCCAATCACCTGCCTCAGATAGGGAGGCACTTGGTGGTATATGAGTGCCTCCCTTATGGCTGCCCAGGCCAGGATGTTACACGAGTGACTGCGCTCTCCGAGAGGGACCGCAAACGCTTAATGGCGTCCACGGTTGAAGCCAAACTGGTAGTCAGCCAGATAGGGACCAACGCGACAGGTGTCTGGAGAGGCGAGAAGCGATGATACGTTTCAGCATCTTTCCCGCCTCGTCCAGGAGACATATCGGACGCGGAGAGAGACTCCGCGGGCCTTCCGTCCTTTCTCAAGAGGACAATCCGCCCACACTTTCATAGTCGGGGGAACTTCCCCGACTCCAGGCAGGAAGTAATCAACCTCCTCACCCTGCCGAAGAGGACGCCCAGGGCCAAAGTCCAGTCTCGGCCGGGTATCCCATCAGGCCCAGGGGCGTTTCCCATCCGTGACCCCCACACCGGAAGGCTGCTCGATATCGCGGCCCTCTGTCCCGGGCACTGGTCGGACCGCCTCCCTACCAGGGGGGAAAAGCGTGGCCACGACCTGCCCGAGGAATTGGGGTTCAAGGTTCTTTGTGCCGGGGTGCCCACGGCCGAAGCCGTCCCATCACCAGTTTATATGGGCGCCCCCAAGGATCTCTATCCAGAGAGCCGAGGAGATTACTCCACGCCTGGGTCTTGGCCCTTTTAATGGCCAGCTGCAGGGCCGCTACCTTCTCACGGTAGGCTCTGTACAGCTGGGCAACCCACTCTCATCCGTTTGTCGTCGTCGACGGGCACGGGAGTACTGGCATCGCGCGCGGATGCACTCAGTGCGAATATCCGCAATCTCGCGCGACCACCAGTACACAGCCTTCCTCGGCTGGACCCTGGCCCGGGGCATAGCGGCGTCGCATATCGCCGTCATTGCGCCCTGGAGCCGTTGAGCTTCCACCTGCCCGTCGACAGGCCCGGCCGTATGTTCTGGCCAGGCTACGACGTGGGCTGCCGCAATTAGGGCGTCCTCATCCATCTTCTTCAATCCCCATCGCGGTGGTGGCCTTGCCGCCTCTGGACACTGTCGGGGTTATGCCTTTCTGCCGGCGGAGAGGCCGATGACCACGTATCTGTGGTCAGATAACGATTCGGCCTCTGCCGCCACTCTCCATCCCGAGATACGGCGCGCGGCTGGGGGGGCTAGCCCACGAGAGACCCACAATGGACCCCCCATTCCACCGCACGCACGTATTGACGGTGCCCGTGTTTAACAGACAGAGCTCCAGTCGAGCACTTCTCGGTCCCTTACGTCTGTCCCGGGGGAACCCCAAGCTTGAGACTTGGAGTTGAAATCCCCCAAGACGAGAACCGGACGGGGAAGGCAGCGGGAGATGCATCTCCCAACCCCGTCCAGGTACTTTTAAAGGACCGCAAGAGCCGAGCAAGCCGCCGCTTTGTGGTCCGCACCGCCACAATTGTAGCAACGGTCGGACCTGTCGTCAGCGGCTGTGCACCGCTGCCTCGTGTGCCCCACTTCAAGGCAGCGGTAGCACTGCAGGGGAGCGCTGCAAGGGGTTCCATGCCAGCCTGGGTCCACCCGACCGCCACCTTGCCGGCAACCGCCAGTTTCCTGGCAGCGGCCGCCGGGCACTGGGCTCAAATCGTCCCCAGCCCTGAGGGTGCGTTCCGGATATCTCCGGTCTTCACTTCCCCCTCAGAGCATTCACCCGCTAACACGACGGCTCTGGCCACCTCCTCCTGGGTAACGGAGTCGATGAGGCTCCGGATCCTAAGATCCGCCCTCTTCGTGGGCCTCGCGACACGCACCCCGGTTCCGGAAAGAGCCTCCGTCATCTTGACGGCGAGGGCATCCGCCTTCTACGCCCTATCGGCAACTGGCACCTCCAGGACCAGGGCCCCGGTGACGCCCCTTCTGGGACGCAGCGCTGCGATGCCGACACTGGCTAGGTCGATCTTCGATCTAGCCATCGACACCGCCTGCGCATACGTAACCCCACCGTCCGCTGGGACCGTCACCGTGACGGCCGCAGTACGTGGCGGACGGGGTGGGAGCGCCACCCTCCCCTTTGCATTTGGGACGAGATTGGCCCCTTTTGCGAGCCCATGCGAATTACTGGCACTCCCAAGGTTGCGTTCGAATAGGTGTAGATGGACATTGTGGATCCATTACCTTTAACTTCAAGATGCAATCGTTATTTACTGACGCTTCAGGATAATGTAACTAAGTGTTCTGATGCTATTCCTTTACCTAATATCGATTCAGTGTCTGTCGCTGCTGCTTTGTCCGAACAGTTTATCAGTAGATTCGGTTGTCCTAGGGCTATTCATACAGATCAGGGAAGTAATGGAATTATGAAAAACTTTTGTAAGATTTTTAAAATTCAAAGAATTACCTCTACTGCATTTCACCTTCAGTCATTAGGATCTCTGGAAAGAGCTCATCGCGTATTCATAGACTATCTTAAACATTATCTGTACAAAATCAGATTGGGACGATTGGATAAGATTTGGTATGTTTTCATACAATACCTTTGTACATGAGTCTACGAACATTTATCCAGTATTTAGATCAGCTTCTCACTACTCAGGCAATGGCAGCAAAATACCTTAAAAGAGCTAAAGAAAGAGTAAAATACATTATGTAGTGTTTATTTTGGTTTTTAAAATTAGAATAATGGTTTAATACAAGTATACGACTTAGCGCGTCTTGACCACACTACTCAAATTCACAGCCAAGAAACAACTGGCCTTTCGGCTAGAACATCCCCTAGACCCTCGCATTCTTCCACCACGCAAACTTCTCGTTACGGGCCCGCTGGCCCGTGGGTTTTTCCCATCCCTCACTTTCACTCCGAACGGCTCCGTGCGACTTTACTGATACTAAACTCGGCCATTCTGATTCTACATCTGTCCTCAGATGTTTCCATTGTCACTATATACACTGTCACAGTCTTCGGAAAAATCTTCCTCCTCATCGTCGAGCCAAGGCTTCATATGGTCGGCCGCTGTCGATGTCTTCTTAAGGTGAGGTCCCATGTATGTAATGCTCGTGCTCGGGCAATAAATTATCTGTACTCGCCGGATTTTGTTAGAAAACACGTTCCTACTAGCGTCCAAAATGTCGCCAAATGCGACGACAAACGATTTGGAACCACTTGAAAGGGTCGATTTTTACGAGCGTTTGGGTCTCGGTCCATGGCCTAGGCTCGCGAGCACGGGGACTATTCCATGAAAAAAAATTGACCCTTTCGAGTGGTCGAAGCGAGACCCCAAATACTTCTTTTCACCGAGACCGTAGGTGCCTACCTGGGTTCGCTCAAGGATCTGGGCTCAAACGGGCGATCGACTCATCAGTTTTTGATAAAATCGAATTCTTTATTCTTGACCGTATCAACGTGAACGCGATGCCATTGGATTCTTGGCGTTCTCCCGATTAAAATAATATCTCACGGCGCGTAAATCGAACTATTTTTAACGAAATAACTTTTCAATTATGCAATCAGATTTTGCATATAATTTCGTTAAAAATTGTCTGATTTACGCGATGTGAGATATCATTTTGATCGTAGAAGCATCGGGAATCGATTAAAGGTACTTCCTCAAAATTCCGATAAAAATTGTCGAGGTTGATATTTTCAATTGTTTATGACATCCCCTTGTCGATCGTCCGTTGCGATGATGGTGCGTGGCCTTTTGCGGGATTCCGTGCTGGTTTAGGTGCTCGTACTCGCCGCCCGGACTTACATACATGGGACCTCACCTTTAGGACCCTTGTGTTCTCCAACCGCTTGTACCACGTATCGGTTATTCCGTAATACTCTAACAATGCTATAGAGCCCTAAATACTTAGTGTGAAATTTTAACCAGGCGCGGCCTGCGTTCTCTTAATTGCTACCAATTGAGCTTAGTAGTATAGCTAGGCCGGCTCTAAACCATGGGGCTCCGAGGGGAACCAAGGGCAAGGGGGGTTCCGATTGGCGAGGGGGCGAGGAGGAGGGGGACGCGCGTGGTGGGGTGTCGGTAATTATTACCAACGGTCGGTAAGGTAGGATATAATTATTACCTATGGCCGTGAATTAGAACCGATGGTAGAGGGGGACACCTCCGGTCGGTAATTACCAGAGATCGGTAAAGAAGAAAAACGCAAGTTTTACATATAGCGAAATAAGCACGTAAGGGAGGGGGAAACCGTCCTCTTCGCGCGCAGAAGTGGGGGTGTTTTTTCGGGGCCCCGCGGTGGGCTTGAGACTCCTCTCTCTCTCGCGCCCGAGTATTTACTTCCTCGCACCTATGCCCCGGTTACACGTGCAACATGTAAGATTAGAAAAGATGAGGTAATTATCATAGGTAATTATCAGTGATCGTTAAAAAGGAAGAAAAAGAAGAAGAGCATCAATTATTCGACGTTTGTTAAGTATTATTGCTATCAGAGATCGGTAAAGAAGAAAAACGCAAATTTTACATGTAATGAAATAAGCGCATAAGGGAGGGGAAACCATCCTCTTCGTCTTCGCGGGAGGTAAGCGCACACGCTGTAGGGGAGGGGAAACTGTCGTCTTCGCGCGCAAGAGTGGGGGTGCCGTTGCGGGCCCAGAAGGTTCTCTCTCTCTCTCGCGCCCGACTATTTTCTTCCTTGCACTCATGCTCGTGTACACGCGCGACATATAATATTACATTACAATCTTTATCACAGCCATCGGTAGGAATATCTCGCGATGATGACCTCGAGCAGAAGATCCAAAAACGCAAAGTTTGCAAACTACAAGCCGGCAGTAAATCTTTTATTTGCGCGATACAATTTCTCAAGAACTAAATATTGAAGAAACGGTAGAGGTGATATCATTCTTTGGCAATGAGAATACTGGAAAACGTGCGGAGGAAACATTACACCGAATGGGAATATGATATGGGAGAAAATGCGCTAGAAAGAACAATACATATATCAAAGCTATTTTTTATTGATAACTGTATTCCATCTAAACCTAAGGCTAACAATTCAGAGTCAATTTTCCAAAAAAATAGATGCATTTTTTTATTTCTGGTATTTCAGCCACCAGTTGTATAATTTAAATACATTTTGTAAAACGCAATTCGTTACATGGTTTACGCATCGCATGGTATTAGTAACATCAAGATTTTTCAAACACATGATATCTTTGTAATCAGCATCCATAGTCTCAATAGCTATATTCGCATTTCTATCAAGTAGATTTTTCAACCAG